ACAAGAATGGCTTACACAGCTTAGAAACATAAGCGCCATGCTATATAGAGTTTATATTTTATTGATATTGTTATATTTAAGATTTTGCTTTTGTTTAAAATACAATATGACTATGTTTGGATTTATTTTGGTGGATCCTTTGTTTTGTTCTGGTACTATGCAGTGTATTTATGTGTTTCTGTGAAAAGGATGACATGCAATGTATGTGGGTCATCCGTCTGTAACACCAATCAATATGAATAAATAAACATGCGAGTAAAATACTAAACTTATTTCTTGTCGTCTTAATATGTGTTATGTGTGGAACCTGATCTAATAGCACGCTCGTGTGTTAAAGGGTGGCGATCGTCGCACTGCGCATGTGCGAAATTTGTGTTGATAAACATTGATTCTCCCACAATCGAATGCGCTTTTCTAATGGAAATCACGTTTAAGTATGAGGTTTAACCTGGGCGTGACTTGCATTAATTACCACCGGTGACTCCTTCGATACCTTCTAATCACCTGAAAAATACCCAATTAAAGCTTAGTAACGTCTCAGTTTGTACTCGTTGATCTGTACAACAGTCAAAGTCGCCATCTTTGTTTACATGAGACCCACACATCTCGCGCATGCGTGGAGCGACGACTACCATCCATTAAGGTAGAAGCCTATTAATAATTGTTGAGAGTTGGTTATAAATCACATGACAATGTTCATTGGTTTATTATGTAAAATCAAGAAGCTATTGTCCCATGGCACCATGAAAAAGCATTCTTTTGTGTGTTCCAGTGATATATTTTGACAAAATTGTCCTATATTTTTCTATTTTTAGAACAATTTCATAAAACAGTGTTAAAAAAAGAAATTGCATTTTTTGACACTCTCAAAACTCAGATTTTTGACTCAGAGCGCATGTTACCCACCTTTTTAAAGTCAATATCCTTATACTGCATGGGAGTATAACTTATTGCGAAATGAATAAATTTGTATTTATGGGTAGTCTTCTAATAATAGTCGGCGAGTTAGAAGGTCAAAGGTCAAACCCCTGCTGAAATCAATCGTCGGAAATCATTAAGAGTTCAAAATGGTGTGGGAAAAGCATGATTAATAACAGTTCGGAATAGAAGAAGCGTGAATGTGGAGTTCAATATGCTAGAAAGTAATGCAGTGAATATTCTCGTAACATTTAGTATAGTATTTCGAATGTGAAAACCTGAACCGTTATGATACGATGCACCCGACATTGAACTTGTCACGTGTCAAGATAGTCTCCAATCATGAACTTCTATTATTTCTCAGCCCATCCATTGACACTTTCTCGCTGCTTCCACCTAGTATAAAGCTAACCTGATTTTCGAACTTATATTTTCCGTCCGTTGATCAATGGACAGTAACGCTCTTGTTTTGTAATGCAGTGTTTCTATTAAAATCTGAACAATACGCTAAATATACAATTGTCCACCATCGACGACGTCATGACCGACTGTTACCGACTGTTACCGAGTCACGAGAAGAGAGTGCCAATAGCTACTTCGCCGTATAATCTTGCTATTTGAAAACATACGACCCCGATAGACCTTTGATTTCTGTGACGTCATGATTCAGCTTATCACAATTGGGGATCTTCGCTTGCGGGTAGTTACTGTGAATAGCTGTTTCCGGTCGTGTATCAATAGTTATATAATCGTACAAATGTGTAAATTTTCTGCTGGGATGGCGAGTCAAGTCCCAACCACCTGTCAGCGCCTCGCACTATGCACTGGCTGGGGAGGAAGGAAGGAAGAAAGAAAGGAAGAAATTAAAGCGCCACGGTCGTCGTGACGC